GTTGACCGATTAAATACATTCGACAGATATTCTATATGGATTTTTGAAAGAATATTTTTTAGGGTACTCCATTTGGCATCCACGCCTTGTGTAGGTCCTTGAAAAGATATCCTTTAAAAAACTCCACGCCTTGTGTAGGTCCTTGAAAAGATATCCTTTAAAAATCCCCACGCCTTGTGTAGGTCCTTGAAAAGATATCCTTTAAAAAACTCCACGCCTTGTGTAGGTCCTTGAAAAGATATCCTTTAAAAAGTCCACGCTTATGTATGTCCTTGAAAAGATATCCTTTAAAAAGTCCACGCCTTATGTAGGTCCTTGAAAAGATATCCTTTAAAAAGTCCACGCTTATGTATGTCCTTGAAAAGATATCCTTTAAAAAGTCCACGCCTTATGTAGGTCCTTGAAAAGATATCCTTTAAAAAATGCACGCCTTGTGTAGGTCCTTGAAAAGATATCCTTTAAAAAATGCACGCCTTGTGTAGGTCCTTGAAAAGATATCCTTTAAAAAATGCACGCCTTGTGTAGGTCCTTGAAAAGATATCCTTTAAAAAATCCACGCCTTGTGTAGGTCCTTGAAAAGATATCCTTTAAAAAATCCACGCCTTGTGTAGGTCCTTGAAAAGATATCCTTTAAAAAATCCACGCCTTGTGTAGGTCCTTGAAAAGATATCCTTTAAAAAATCCACGCCTTGTGTAGGTCCTTGAAAAGATATCCTTTAAAAAATCCACGCCTTGTGTAGGTCCTTGAAAAGATATCCTTTAAAAAATCCACGCCTTGTGTAGGTCCTTGAAAAGATATCCTTTAAAAAATCCACGCCTTGTGTAGGTCCTTGAAAAGATATCCTTTAAAAAATCCACGCCTTGTGTAGGTCCTTGAAAAGATATCCTTTAAAAAATCCACGCCTTGTGTAGGTCCTTGAAAAGATATCCTTTAAAAAATCCACGCCTTGTGTAGGTCCTTGAAAAGATATCCTTTAAAAAATCCACGCCTTGTGTAGGTCCTTGAAAAGATATCCTTTAAAAAATCCACGCCTTGTGTAGGTCCTTGAAAAGATATCCTTTAAAAAATCCACGCCTTGTGTAGGTCCTTGAAAAGATATCCTTTAAAAAATCCACGCCTTGTGTAGGTCCTTGAAAAGATATCCTTTAAAAAATCCACGCCTTGTGTAGGTCCTTGAAAAGATATCCTTTAAAAAATCCACGCCTTGTGTAGGTCCTTGAAAAGATATCCTTTAAAAAATCCACGCCTTGTGTAGGTCCTTGAAAAGATATCCTTTAAAAAATCCACGCCTTGTGTAGGTCCTTGAAAAGATATCCTTTAAAAAATCCACGCCTTGTGTAGGTCCTTGAAAAGATATCCTTTAAAAAATCCACGCCTTGTGTAGGTCCTTGAAAAGATATGCTTTAAAAAATCCACGCCTTGTGTAGGTCCTTGAAAAGATATCCTTTAAAAAATCCACGCCTTGTGTAGGTCCTTGAAAAGATATCCTTTAAAAAATCCACGCCTTGTGTAGGTCCTTGAAAAGATATCCTTTAAACAATCCACGCCTTGTGTAGGTCCTTGAAAAGATATCCTTTAAAAATCCACGCCTTGTGTAGGGCCTTGAAAAGATATCCTTTAAAAAATCCACGCCTTGTGTAGGTCCTTGAAAAGATATCCTTTAAAAAATACACGTCTTGAAAAGATATCCTTTAAAAAATCCACGCCTTGTGTAGGTCCTTGAAAAGATATCCTTTAAAAAAAATTCACGCCTTGTGTAGGTCCTTGAAAAGATATCCTTTAAAAAATCCGCGCCTTGTGTAGGTCCTTGAAAATATTACCTTTAAAAAAATTCACGCCTTGTGTAGGTCCTTGAAAAGATATGCTTTAAAAAATCCACGCCTTGTGTAGGTCCTTGAAAAGATATCCTTTAAAAAATCCACGCCTTGTGTAGGTCCTTGAAAAGATATCCTTTAAAAAATCCACGCCTTGTGTAGGTCCTTGAAAAGATATCCTTTAAAAAAACTCCAGGCCTTGTGTAGGTCCTTGAAAAGATAACCTAGAAAAAATAAACAGCTCTTGAAAAATACATTTAAAAAAACTGTACGCTATCTCCATTGATGGTTTCCGATTACCGAAGATTTGTCAACTCGACCCTAAGATATTGACACTAACAACCACATAAGATGCCCTGGAAAACAGAGTGCAATGACATATTATTTCATTTTCTATCCTTTTCTTTATGTTGTCACTTGCAGTATTACATGATTTGGTGTCGAGGATTCTTTTGAATATTTTTTTCTTTTGGTTTTTTTACAGCTTATATTCTATTCTTTCTTTTGTCACTTTCATTGCAACAATAGTTGAGAAAAGTTTTTTTTTTTTTTTTTTTGTAATTTGTTTTCATTATTATTGTGTGTCCTTTTTAAGGAGTCAAAATATTTGTCGTACTACAGCCATTATTTTGAGGCCATGTGATACTGATAATAAAATTGTTTCAAAAATGAATAAATTAAGGTCACAACCAGTACAAGAGCACATGATTTTCTTACAATTCTTATAGAAGACACTGAAGTACTTCTTATAGAGGACTTCGTAAAGACATCCACAAGGCCTTCTTATAGAAGACCACACTGTCTTCTTTAAGACCAAAAGATTTATTATTATTAAAAAATTACAAAGGCTTGTATTTAAAAGTCCACCCGGTCTTCTATTAGAAGACCAACAACACTAATCTTCTATTAGAATATTTTCAGGTCTTCTGATCTTATCTTTGATATGGAAAACATATCTAGTTTAGAGCACTGTCGAGGATCGTTTTGAAATGGTTATACCAGAGGTCTTGATTATAACGAGATATGGGACACCAAATGTCCGCTAGGACCCTTGTGCTTTCCCTCTGTTTTATAAAATTTGCATTTTGTCCTGATTGCAAACAGTATAGATATGTGCTATATAATAAGAAATCAGTGCACCAAATTTCAGCGAATTCGGTTGCAAAAACCACAAAATACCGAACATTGAGGAGTACCGTTATATGGGGTCTACCAGATAAAGTGAACCTATATTTATAGTATTTAGTGAATAAGTTTGGTACCCCATAAGAACTCAATGTACCAAATCTCAGCAAATTCGGTTGAAAAGGCACTGAAACCCCAGTGTACCAAATTTTAGCGAACTCGGTTGCAAATCAAGATCAAAAACCACAAAATACCGAAAATTGGAAGGTACCGTTATATGGAGACTACGCGAAAAAATGGACCGATATTTATAACTCTAAGTGGGGAGATTTGCTGCCCAATAAGAAAGCAGTGTATCAAATTTCATCGAATTCGGTTGAAAAAAACGAGCTCAAAAACCACAAAATACCGAAAATTGGGGTGTACCCTATATATATGGGGGTTACCCAAAAAATATGGACCGATATTCATAATTGTAAGTGGAGAGATTTGGTACTCATTAATAACTCAGTGTACCAAATTTCACCGAATTCGGTTGCAAAACGATCTCAAGAACCCGAAAATACCGAAAATTGAGGAGTATAGTTAATGGGGGCTTCCAGAAAAAGTGGACCCATATTCATAATTTTAAGTGGAGACATTTGATACCCAATAAGAACTCAAAGTACTAAATTACAACGTAATAGTTGTAAAAAATTTCGCTCAAAAATTCCAAAGTACTGAGGATTGACGGATACGGTTATATGGGAGAAATGTTATACCCTATAAGAACTCAATGTACCAAATTTCATCGAATTCGTTCGAAAAATTCGCTCAAAAAGCACAAAATGCCGAAAATTGGAGAGTATCGTTAATGGGGGCTACCAGAAAAGGTGGACCAATAATTATTATTTTTAGTAGAGAAATTTGGTAACCAATAAGAAGTCAATGTATTACATTTTATCGAATTGGGTTAAATAAAATGAGCTCAAAACCCCCATATTCGAACTTGCAACTGACTGCAGTCAAAAGACAACTCTATGCAACATTTTGGCGATCTATCTCAATGCGTTTAGAGGCTAGATGCTGATTACAACAGACAGACAAACGGACATATTTAAATCATCGAATTTTCCGCTGATCAGAAATATTTATACGCTATCTATATAGCTATCTGATTACAACAGACAGACAAACGGACATATTTAAATCATCAAATTTTCCGCTGATCAAAAATGTATATGCTATCTATATAGAATCGGAAATGATTATTTCGGAAAAAAAACTTACTATACACTGCATTCTATGGTTGGAGGGTATAAAAAGCATGAGAAAATACGGGGACCCGGCGGAATTTTGGATTATTTCTGCGAAAATTCAAATGTCGCCAAGAATAAAAAAATCGTCGTAATCAAAAAAAAAAAAAAAAAGACTATGTACATATTCGAACATAACCTGACTGCAGACAAAAAAAAAAATTTCTATGCAACATTTTTGGCGATCTATTTCAGTTCGTTTAGAGACTAGAGGCTGATTACAACAGACAGACGGGCGGACGGATATGTTTAAATAGAATTTAACGCGGATAAAAAATATATAGGATTTATAGGATCGGAAATGATTATTTCGGAAAAACCAAACTTAATATACCCTGCACACTATGATGAAGGATATAAAAAGTTTGATAAAATGCAGAAAACCTGCGAAATTTTGGATCATTTCTTTCAAATATCCACTAGAAAAAATAGTACATCGTCGTAATCAAGGCTCCCAATGACTACATAAGGTAACAATTACAAAACGATACCCAAACAGCCCCTCAACTAGACTTAAGCCAAGAAGACCTATGTGTTCTTCTATCAGAAGCCCTTCTGATCGTCGGTATTAAAGTGGGGATCATAAAGTGCATTGTTCTTCACAACCAAAGAAATTCCTAATTTATCTGCTCGGCTTGTAAAAATTTCTCGCCGACCAAATCCCATAAAAATGTTGTGCTATTTGACAAAACGAGAGCGATACCTACAATGGAAATATTAGAGATTAATAGCCCCACACGCGTAATATTTGAAATCGCCACTTACCTTACAATAATGATGATGTGGGTTAATGATGGATGATGGTTTGCTAAAATGGCATGCCCCAGGACGTTATGCCGGCACAGGCGAACAGGGAATGCAGCGATATGAATGGAATTTTCTGTGTATATTGTATGTATTGAGATGGAGAATCAATTCTCTTGTGGTGGATATTTGATATTCGATTTATTTTTTATTCGAATTGTAAAATAAAAATTTGCAAAATTGTATTTTAATTTTTTGTTTTTGCGGATAAGGCAATTTACCAAGTCCGCACTGAACACTGAGAGCTCGCTGTGGCCCCAAACACACACAGACAGACACACACACACGACACACAAACTATTATTTTTTCGGCCTCCCCAGACGACAACTTTGGCTTTGATGGAGGGCTTGGAAAAACAACTCAAACACAAGAATGGTTTTGAAACTAATTCTTTTTTTAATTACATTATTCCACACACTTTTTTCTTAACAATTTTTTTCTTTATTCCAATTATTTTGTTATTGTTGCAATGGTATTTATTTATTTTGCAAATTTCCAATTAGTACACCGACCGAATAGGGAGCAAGCCCAGACACAAAAACAACATTTGTGGGGCCAACCAAAAAAAAAATTTAGAATTCGCCACCGCGTGTCAATCTCAACAAATAGATTTTGATAACATGAAACGATTTCGGAACGTCACAAATTTTCTTCACATAATTTTATGCAAATTTTTTCCTTTTCTTTTTGCTTCGGCTCGTTTATTTTGGATATTATTTTGTTGCTGTTGTTGTTTTTGCTGTAATGTGGAGAATCAAATTGCTTTCTTTTATTATCTTGTTTTGTTTTGTTGTTGACATTCAATAGTTTATCTCATGTCACAATCAGGGCTGCCAGATTTGACGATTTATCGTCATTTTGACGATTTTTTGGTCAAAAATTGAAAAACGACGATTTGACGATTTTTGGTCATTTTAGTAATATTGCAATATTTGGGTTCTTTTTGTTATGGCAACATCAAAAATGTATAAAGCGAAAGAAAAAGTAAAAAGAATTTGAATATTTGGCATATGTGTGTGAGGTATACTTTGTACTGTTACAAAGCCAACAACAGTTTACGTTTACCCAGATAGATGAAAAACTACCAATCAGCTGTGCCGTTCTCTGGGTAGACAGCAACAAAACAAATAAAAGTTAACGGTTGTTGTTTTTTGACACGGGCAAATAGAAGAAAATTGGTGAACGAAAACGTTGTTATATTAAATTAAAGTTTCAATTTATACAAAGTTATTACAATGTTAAAAAGATTCGATTTGAAAGCATTTTTAAAATGGTATCTATGATAAGTCCCACGAATATTAATAATGAAAAGAATAATTCATTTTTCGATATCCTTAAAGAATTAAAGAATCAGCAAATGTTGAGCGTGTTTTCAGCCAAGTAAATCTTAATGGAAATTCCCCCAATAAGGGTTCAATGGAGAAATTTATACCAAAGATTATTTAAAAGTTAACAAAACAAATTGTTATGATACGATAATTAAAACCGACATGTTGAAAATGATTAACACAAATATTTCTTTTCAAAATGAATGACTTTATTAAAGTCGAAATTACTATTCAAATATTTTTTTATAAAATAAATGAATTTCTTGTAGCTTTAAAAACGTGTTTAATAAATTGAATGCCTCTTTTATGTTCATTTTAATAAAAAAAATATATTTAAATATATCTAAACGTGCGTATTTAAATTTTTGACGATTTTTGATAAAAAAATCGTCATTTTGACGATTTTTCCAAAAAAAAAAATCTGGCAGCCCTGGTCACATTAAATAGTTAATCCATGGCACAATGAATAGGTAGTCCATTTAGCGCAGCTGATGTCTTGATTAACTGTCAAAGTGGGTAATTTCTACTTGAATTCGATGTGCAGTGTGGAACAATTTGACAGATAATCGAGACAAAAACAAAGGTTTTTGTTGGTATACATCACCTTATTATTGCATCATGAGTTAGTCCATTTAGCGCAGCTGATGTCTCGATTAACTGTCAAAGTGGTGATTTCTACTTGAGTTCGATGTTCAATGTTGCCAACCACGTGAAATATTATATGAAAAACATTGACAGAAGGTCGAGACCATGGCACAATTAATAGGTGATGTCTCGATTAACTGTCAAAGTGGGTAATTTTACTTGAATTCGACCATTTGAAACATTATAAGGAAAAATTTGACAGATAATCGAGACTAAAACAATTTTTTTTTGTTTTGATACATCACCTTATTATTGCATCATGGTCGAGACCATGGCACAATAAATAAGTAGTCCATATACCGCAGCTGATGTCTCTATTAACTTTCAAAGTGGGTAGTTTCTACTTGAATTCGATGTGCAGTGTTGCCAACCATGTGAAATATTTGACAGATAAACGATTAACTGTCAAAGGGGGTAATTTGTGATTTCCTCAAAAATCAAAAGTCGATATCGACTTTTTGACTTTTCCAAAATCAATTAATAAGGTCACCCAAGTAGATATCGAAATCGAAAAACTGCTGTTTTTTCTCAAGTCTTATGTAAAAAATGTAGACTTTGTTTACGATTTCATAATGGAAGTCAATTCACTATAATGCATTTTGACAGCAAACTTGAGAGGCGCATATATATAGCTGGTCTCCCTGGCTGACCTTATTTATAGGCCATGGACTTTTCAATACAAAAAGTCGATTTACTTATCCCTACAACAGCGGTTCTCATTTAGTCTCCATCCCACTTCATTCGTAAACTTTCGGTATACCCACTTTGAGTTCATCTTTATCGGCCATTTTGTCTTGTCTTTCCATTCATTAGTAGGTGGAACGTTTTTCAATTTTTCTTCAGACGACGTCTGTTTTGGAATTTGTGTTTTCTAAATTAATTTTATTATTTCAAAATATTAAACAAATATTACTAAATAATAAAAAACAAGAGCTTATTATTGAATGAAATCAAATACATAAACAAGTGGTGGTAAATACAATAAATAGTTATGTGACAATGTGTGGTCAGTGAAATGCAAAGTCGTCATGAATGTTCGCGCTTAAATTAGTGTTTTGATTTCTTTATTTGTTTGGAGAATGCATGCGTTTGTTCAATACTTTGTATTTTTTTTAAGCGGATAGTGAATTTCTTCATCTCATCTATAGAAGAACATAAACTCTATAAATATCTCCATTCAGTTCGTTTATAAAGAGTGCCTCCAGTTCTTCTGAAAAAAAGACTATCTTCAACTGCTAAAGACTGTCTAAAGATCATTTATACGGACTGCTCTATACTCGCCTATAAAGACTCCCTTCAGCTCGCCTATAAAGGCCAAAAAGACTTCCTTCAGCCCGCCTATAAAGACTGCCATCAGCTTGCCTATAAAGACTGCCTTCCGCTCGTCTATAAAGACTGCCGTGAGCTCGGCTATAAAGACTCCCTTCAACTCGTCTATAAAGACTCCCTTCAGCTCGTCTATAAAGACTACCTTCAGCTCGTCCATAAAGACTCGATTCAGATCGTCTATAAAGACTCGATTCAGATCGTCTATAAAGACTCGATTCAGATCGTCTATAAAGACTAAAGACCTGCTTCAGCTCGTCTATAAAGACTCGCTTCAGCTCGTCTATAAAGACTCGCTTCAGCTCGTCTATAAAAACTCGCTTCAGCTCGTCTATAAAGACTCGCTTCAGCTCGTCTATAAAGACTCGCTTCAGCTCATCTATAAAGACTCGCTTCAGCTCGTCTATAAAGACTCGTTTCAGCTCGCCTATAAAGACTCGCTTCAGCTCGTCTATAAAGACTCGCTTCAGCTCGCTTTTAAAGACTCGCTTCAGCTCGTCTATAAAGACTCGCTTCAGCTCGTCTATAAAGACTCGCTTCAGCTCGTCTATAAAGACTCGCTTCAGCTCGTCTATAAAGACTCGCTTCAGCTCGTCTATAAAGACTCGCTTCAGCTCGTCTATAAGGACTCCTTCAGCTCGTCTATAAAGACTCCTTCAGCTCGTCTATAAAGACTCCCTTCAGCTCGTCTATAAATATTACCTAATAATAATTAGAACATTTTTAGTACTAACTATATTTTAATTTTTTCTTTGTTATAGGTAAATATTTAACATTCAAATGCAATAGTTAGGATATGACAGAACAGCTGGATATGCCAACAACATCGAAACAACCCAGATGTAAGTTTAGGCAAAATTATAAATCTAAAATAATATACATATATTTTCAATCATTTTAGTTAAAGAAAACATTCCACAACACGCTGGCCGACAAGTGGAAATAAATCCCAACAATATGTTGTCCCCCATTGATAATAGAAAAGTTTGCAAAGGTATGACAAATACAACTACAACTTTTTTACACTGTTCCAATAAACATTCCAATTTTTATTCTTTCAGTTGACAAGAAAGTCAGCAGTAGTAAAATACTTTTTGACACGGTATATAACAAAAAAGCCCCCCTATGTCCAGTAACAATTGAGGAATTTCGAAAATATACCAATGCTGATATTGTGGTTCGTGATTTTTGCAAACAAACCTATGGCAACTATAGTCAAATTCGTTTTGATGAACAAATGAAACGTTTCTATTTATATTTTTATACTGAATCAAAATTACGCAAAGAACCACCATTAAATGATATACAATTACAATCGACATGTCCCGCTGAAATGCGAATAAAACTTCTGGAAGAAGTAAAACGGAAAAAGAAAATAAAGTTAGCTACAGATACGAAAGAACAGCAGCCACAAAAAGAAAATAATTTATGTATGCAAAATATCCAAAATGAAAATGAAATTACAAATAATGGCCACCAAAAAAATGTGCCTTGTAAAGAAATAACAAAGACTGAACCTCAGAAGGTTAGAAGTAATAAAGCGATAGAAATTACAACAAGGCAACTTGTACCTGTAGCAAATAAGCAAAAATGTATAGAACGTGGATCAAATTGTAATATTGAATTTCCAAAACAAGTTTCTGCGGCAACAAAAGTGCTCCAACAACAACAACAATCAACAAT